CTCGCAACAAGGCGCATGGACAGGACAGCCCAATAGCCAAGTACAGCCCCACACACCGCCTACACTTCCCACACCTAAGGTGGTTCCTAACAGGGCGTGTATCACTCCAAGTCCACCGCATCCAACTGCTTCTTGCTCAGCCCAGTGGTCCTCATGGCCCACTGGACTGCGGTCATCTTGCCCTTGACTGCGAGCAATCCCACAATGGGCCATCGCACCTGCAGACAGAAGCAACCAGAACAAAGTCAACACATGTGATGCAGACGTGATATCACAGCTCAACCTTGATTTACCTTCTGGAAGAGGCGGAGTGGCCGGTCGTTTAGTGCAAAGGACTGGCCAGTCGGGGGAATGTGCACAGTGCCAAGGTCCTTGATGACTGCCATGGCGCGGCCAATCACCAGGAGATCAGTGCAGCCGTCAGCGGTCTTGTCATCCTGTATGTTCATAGGTGGTAAGAGGCCAGGCGACAGTTACAAGCACGCAGATGGAAGTTCTTTGTTAGGGTACAAACGCATACAGACACACAGCAGACCGCCTGTCAGACAGCGTGTAAGCTTACCAGGTCGCCCAATAGTAATCCAGCCCCCAAAGCCTCGGGCTTGATGTCCTCCTTCTTACATGCTCCAACAAGGAAGCAGCCCTTGGTCTTCCCCACGAGGTCACATTCTTGCAGGTACACAAGGTGCCCGTCAGCAGCTGTGTAGCGTTGCAGCTCTTTGTCATTGTCGTCCAGCAGGGCCTGCCACATGCCCTGGTGAACAGCTGGCAGAGCAGCCCCAGCCCCAGCGTCCCTGTTGTCCCCGCTGGGTCCAGGCTCTGTGCCATTGTCGGGGGCCGCCTCCGGCTGGATGTTTTCAATGGGTGGGCTGCCCTCATCATCATCTTCGACAGCTTTGGCCTTGACCTCCTTCTCGTTGGCCTTGGTGTTCTCCTCCTCCTCCTCCTCTTCCTCCTCCTCAGATGCGTGGCCTGCACGCGTTAGTTTCTAGGTCGCCTAATAGGTATCCAAACCCAGAAGTCCTAGGAGAGCAAGAAATTCCGAGCACGTTGCTGGCCATATGTGGACTATATTATAGTCCACATAAACAATATAGAGATAATCTC